GGAATCCAGTAAAAGTACTGTGTATAATGGAATACTTAGAAGATAACATTTTGTATTTTACTTTTAAATAATTAATTTAGAAATACTTAACAAAAGGAACTATTCTCTTAGAACATCACATATTATTCTTCCTAGTATGTTATTATCTGTTTTACTATTGGGAAAATTGGTAGTGAAAAGTTTCAGGAATCTCTACTCATATAGCTTTAAACATGTAGTTACTTTCCTTTCTTCTCTGAAATATCACCATACACCACTGCTGTAATCTGAATGTTTGGGTCACCTCCCCCAATTTATATGTTGAAATCCTAACCCCAAAAATGATAGTATTAGGAGTTAGATAATTCTAAGTTATTTGCCAGCCTCTTATTTGTTAAGCAGCCCTTCATTATCTGCCATATGTCAGCATTACTGAATGCATAAAATGTAAACTTGAATGGAATCTGTCTGTATCTGACAGTACACATGCCATTTAGAAGACTTAAATAGCTAAGGGTAAAGAACTGCATTTGGCTTCCTTATCACCTTTTGTAATCCCTACAATTTTAAAATTCTTATTTGTATTATGCTCTTGCATGGTAATACCATATTCATTTGCATCTAGTATTTCTCTTAGTCCTAGGACTTTTCATTTATCTCATTTCCATTTATTTTTCTCAGTTGTCAGTGAACCCCATACCTTTTGTTTCTTATAGACTTTCATTGTATTATTACTATAGTCTCTGTCTTAGTTACTTTTCTCACTGCCAAGACAAAATACCCAACACTCCAAGTTAAAAGAGGTAAGGTTTATTTCAGTCCATAGTCAGCTGGCTCCAAGCCAGGGTGGCAAGGCAGAGGGGCATCGCAGAGGAGAAACAGTCCATGACAAAGTAGGGAAGGTAGAAGGGAGCAAAATTGCACAGCAGCAGACAGCAGCAGGAGCAGCAGGAGCAGCAGCAGCAGCCAAGCCTGCCCTTTTTTTTTTTTTTAATCCAGGCTACCTGCTTTTTGGGCAGAGCCACCCACACCCAGGGTGGGGCACCCTTAATCCCAGCATCACAAATTTAATCTCAGCACCACACCCTAGATCCAACCCCCTCTGAAAAGCTCTATCTAGCTATGAGTGGATAAGGGTTTGAGGGCCCATCTAGGTACAAGCCATAATAGTCTCCTTTGCTTCTTTGTCATTTTGATTTCTCAGTTTTCCATATTCAAATTTATCTTGGTTTTTTTTTCCCTTAAAATGTTATGATCTAGAGCTGAGCATAGTGGCACATGCCTGTAATCCCAGCTGAGGCAGGAAAGATTGCCATGAGTTTGAGGCCAGCCTGGACTACATTACTGAGTTCTAGACCAGCCTGAACTACATAGTGAGACCCTATCTCTAAATAAATAAATAAATATAAATAAATAAATACAATGTGTAAGTTAGTAACTTTTAAAACATACTTTCTCCTTTTTCTGACTGGACATACTCAGATCTTTTGTTGTTATGGGAGCCTGTTTGCCCTGGTTTGCAACCTGGTCTTCCCTAGAATTGGTTGTTGGGTAGCCCCATGAGACGGTATTATGATTTAGATCTAAAATGGCCTCCAAAAGCCTCATGTGTTTGTAAGATGATCGGATTGTGAAGGTGCTTTACTTTACCCATCAGTAGAAGAATGGAAGTGCTTTACCCATCAGTAGAATAATCCACTGATGACTCCATAGCTAAATGTATTGTGAGGAGGTAGGGGCTGGTTGGAAGAATCAGGCTGCTGAGGATGTGAACTGGAAGGATATATGACCCTCTCTGGCGCCTTCCTTCCTTCTCTACTTCCAGGTCACCATGATGTGGAGCAGCTTTCCTCCACCAGACCCTTCCACTATACCCTTCCTGCCTCAGCCAGCTGACTATGGACTAAAACCATGAGCCCAAATAAAATTCTGCTCCTTTAAGTTGTAGGTATCAGATATTACCTATGTCCAAATAATGAGACAGAAGAAAGGTAGAATTAAAGATATCAATGGAATGTTCATTGGGATGGAAAGAACAAATTTTAATGTTATGATTTGCTTCTTTTTGTTGTTGACATCTTTTAAAAATTATTTTCACATGATCACTGCATACTTACTCATAGGGTAATCATGTAAAACCATGCCACAGACCTTGAAAAAACCTACTTAAGTGTTTTATATGAACAGCTTTGAAAGTTCAGTTTTTTCAAGGTTAGCCAAAAGGGAAATATTTTAAATTGAAATCTCTCTACAGAAGGAGGGTAATACTTTTCTCTTCATCTTTCAAGACAGTGTTCTTGCTTCTCTCTCTCCCACTCCATTTTCCATCTGCCCACTGGTTGAGGACCTTCTCATCCTTCTTTCTCTCTGGGAACTACTTTTGTCTTTTGTGCTACAAGAAGGGTAAACAAAGCAAAGAACTAGGGCCCATGCTTAGAGAATTGCCTAAATCATCGAAGCTTCTCTGTTCTCTTTCAGATTTTCTCTTAATCATGCATTGTTTTGGTGTTCTTAAATTTTTGTCATTCAGATCCAGCAAGCTAAAAGATTCTGAGTTCCAGGGATTTGGGTTTGGAATTGAAGAAGGCCTAATGCCTTTAGCTTAAAACGAACTAGTTTTCTGTGGTACTTGAAGTGTAGGTTCTTTGCTTTCCATTTTGCATTGTTCGTGTCTTTCCCTCTTAAAATTTCATGGGAGACTGGTACCTGGATTAAGACAAAAAAAACATCTGAATCTTCCTGCAGAATATACTACTTTGACCACTTAACAGTCGTCACTTGAGCAGTGTGTTTATTTATATACAGCATTGCTCAGGCAGGTCATTTCAACTTGTCGATTCTTGTATTGAATAAATTTGATAAAATTCTGGTTTTAATATTTCCTTTTATAAAAATTAATGAAAAAATATGCAATATTTGGTCATCCTGTATTTCAATTATTGAACTAGTGATTAATGGCATCAAAACTTAAAATTAGTATCTAAATAGTAAATTGTGGTAACATGAAGAGATACATACAAGTTATAGTGGCAGCATCAAGTAATGCAAAATTCTGTCATGGAAAAATGTATGACCTAAACACTTGATCTTAGCCAAAAGGCTGAGAATTGATGTATGACTGAAACATTAAAAGATAAGTTTAATTAGAAAAGGTATGTATTCCAGGTAGAAAACTATAGGTACAAAATTGGCTTGAAAGTTCATAGGATGTTCAGGATCATGATATTTAATTCCTTTTATTTTTTCTTGCTGATGGTTTTATAAAAGAATTTAAGGATATAGTTGTCCGTAATACTATGCAATTTTTAATTTTCTTTTAAAAGGTGCTTCCTGGGTGAGTTGGGGTTTAGTCAAAGGTGCTGAATTTACTGGCAAAGCAATCCAAAAAGGTGCTTCTAAACTCCGAGAACGGATTCAGCCAGAAGAAAAACCAGTGGAAATTAGTCCAGCTGTCAGCAAGGGACTTTATATGGCCAAGCAGGCTACAGGAGGAGCAGCCAAAGTCAGCCAGTTCCTGGGTAAAGTACTTTATTGAATCTATAGTTAATTTAAATGTTCATTTAGATGGTTTAACTTCAAAAAGAAAGAATTAGAACAAAAGAATTTCACCTTGCTACACATAGTGGGACCTGTGCTCAACATCAGTAGTCCACTGGGGGCCTTAGAAATGCAGAATTTCAGGCATCAGACACAGCTGATTCAGAATCTGCATTGTTTATAAGGTGCCTAGGTGATTCTGTTAAATTCTGAGAAACTATTTAAAGGATTATTTGTATGTATTAGAGAGTACATGTGTCTTTGAAAGCAGTTATGAGTATATTTAAATATCAGCCTTGAATCTATCTAAGGGCTATAACACATTCTTTTTTTTTTTTTGGTACCTGGGATCGAACCCTGGTCCTTGGGCTTGCGCAGCAGGTGTCAAAACCACTGAGCTAAATCCCCGGCCCCTATAACACATTCTTTAGAGTACTGCAGCTCACTACAGTAGTAGAAGGTCAAGAGGGAGGGATATACAGTATTGTTTAAGCTAAGCAGATTTAGTAATTTTGTTGCCAGTCTTCCCAAGAATGATAGCAGTTGGGCCTGGGATTTAGCTCAGTGGTGCCACAACTGGCTTTCAAGCACAAGGTCCTGAGTTTGATCCCTGGTACCGAAAAAAAAATCATAGCAATTAAATTTGATGTTTTAAAATAATCAAAGTAATCCTTAATGATTGCTATTAAATTTAATGAAATTATCCTTTTTGGTATTCGGTATTCCTTGAATCAGATTTTGGGTTGTATGCTTTTGCAGATTTAAATACCTTACCATTATTTCACAGAGATATTTACTTATAGAAAAAGTATAAATATGCTTAGCTGGAAAACACTAAAGGTATACCTACTGGCTTTGTATCCCAGCAATCAGATAGAAAAAGTGGATGATTTTGAACAGAAGTGCCAAGAAGAACATGTAAATCCAAGAGGCAAGGTTATCAGTAGACTCTGCAAAAGTACATCTTTAAACCAAATGGTAGCCTTGTTTAAAATGAGCCAGCCTAGTATCTTGTCCTTAAGTAGAAATGTTATTATTATGCAGAAGAACAATTGTACTTGGTTATTTAGGAAGTTTGCTTAATAATAGTGGTAAAATCAAGAAAAGAGCAATTTTTCTATGTCTTTTTTTTAATGATTACATTAGTTGATGGAGTTTGCACTGTATCGAATTATGTTGGAAAAGAATTAGCTCCACACGTTAAGAAGCATGGAAGCAAGTTTGTTCCAGAATCTCTTAAAAGAGACGAAGACGGAAAGTCTACCCTGGATGGTGCTATGGTTGTTGCAGCAAGCAGTGTTCAAGGTAATAAAAGGTCCCAGACTTCTATTTATTTTTTAAATTTATTTTTGCAATTCTGGAGATTGACCCCAGGCTTTATGTATCCTGGGTAAGTGCTCTACCACACACTGATTATGTTCTCATTTCTCATGATTTTAACTAGGAAGATCTATTCAGCTTTTTTGTTTTGTTTTGTTTTATTTTTTGAGACAGGGTCTTGCTATGTAGCTCAAGCTAGCCTTGAACTCACAGTGTTGCCCAAGCTGGCCTTGAACTCAGGACCATCCTCCTGCCTCAGCCTCCCAAATGCTGGGATCACAGGTGTGTGACACCATGCCCAGCAAGAAGATCTATTTGCTTTGAGCTTGATTTACTTTTAATATTTGCAGGATTTTCAACTGTCTGGCAGGGATTGGAATGTGCAGCTAAATGCATTGTTGACAATGTTTCAGCGGAAATTGTACAAACTGTCAGATACAGGTAAGTTGAATATTATCATTTTAATGACTAAATCTCTTGTATCATTTCCAAAAGTCCAAGATAGTTAAGATGATTGGGTAGTTATTTTGTTAAATGTTTAGAAACAATTTTCTTTTCACTCATTATGTCTCCTAAAGAGGGAGAAGAATATTTTTTAGTATAATAATAGAATTCCTGTAACTTTGCTTTATGTTATTAATTATTATAAGTGTTAATCATTAGTGTAATAGGTTTGTTTTTTTAAAAGCCTGGAATTTTTGTATATCTTGTTAAGGATAACACATGTTGTGGGGGTTTTTTTGTTGTTTTTTTTTGGTACTGGGGATTGAACTCGGGTCCTTGGGCTTGCGCAGCAGGCGGCGAAACCACTGAGCTAAATCCCTGGCAGTACATGTTTTTCATAGTGATATTTGCCTCCAAGAACTTGATTAAACTATAGTGCCCCATTATAATATACCCCATTCTGTATACCAGGACCAGTATATATTTATATTGGAATGGAAAGAAAATAGTCTTATATTTCATTTAAGAAGTGAATAAAGTTAGTAATGATTGATTTGTACTTATCTGATCAGTACTATGATTTCTTTCTGATTTGACTTTGAGATCTCCCTGGAGAATGTCTACAAATTTCTGCTCCTACCTACTGAGGCCCCAGGAGAGGTTGTGGATCTTTACAGTGTAGCTTTCAGAGTTGCTTCTCCCACCCCCTAAAATTTATTCATTTTTGTTTTTATTTTTTATTAGCACATGTTTGCAGTACATAATGTTTACATTCCTTGTGAGATTGGTACATGTACATACCATATCTTAATTCTTTCTCATCCCCTTACCCTCCCCTTTCTTCCTCCTGCCTCCTCTCCTGATCCCCTTCCCATTTGAGAAAGATCTGTCTCCCTATTGCCTATTATCTTTTATTTTGCTTTTTATTTGTAATTTGCATTTCTCCTATATGAGAAATCATGCAGTATTGAAGCTTACATGTCTGATTTACTTCATTTAACTTTATGGTCTCAAAGTGTATCCAGTTTCCTACAAATGACTCAAGTGTATTCTTTTTGACAGAGTAGTACTCTATTGTGTGTAAACACCATAATTTATTTATATGTTGATGGACATACAGTCTTCTTTCAAGATTTAGCTATTATGAGTTGTGCGGCTATAAACATGGATATGTATGTGTCACTGTAATAGGTCATTAACTCTTTCAAGAAGATACCTAGAAGAGGATAGCTGGGCCAAATGGAATTTCTATTTTTAGTTTTTTGAGGAATCTCCATACAATTTCCATAGTGGTTGTGGTGGATGATACAGTGCCCAAGTGTCTAACTTGTGACTAGGTGTCCCTCTCACAAGAAACTAGTTTGTGCTGGCAGATACCCTCATGACATCCAGTTTATTTCTACCAAAATAGACGCACTCTGGGACACCACTGACTGGTAAGAGAGGTTTGGGTGTGCTGGTGAGGTTAGACACAGAGGTGGTGGTAGTACAATAAAACAGGAAGCAGTAAAAACGGGGTTAGCAAGAGCAAATGGCAAGAAGAGGGAGAGTGATGCTGTGGGACTTGAGCCCCATTAAGGTCCTAAGGGCACCATTGCTTCTCTTGGGCTTTGGCTGTGAGGAGAATTGGGTAGTTTAAAGAAAACAAATGTGAAAGAGAAACTTACTCACATGACTCTCGGGTGTTGACCGTTAGTCTTTTACTGTGGTCAGCAGCTGTGGGATGTTAGATTTTGAGTCGACTAGAAGAGGAACAAGTGGGCTACATTACAAACAACCATTCCAGGAAGGAAATTTTAACTAGGCTTAATGTGAAAAGACCCACATGGCTCATACAACTTGTGGTAGGCCTTAAAATGGATATCATGGAAACAACTGAAAACATATTTATTTCAAGTGGAAAAGATGGAACTGACAGCAAGATCTGCTTTTAGCTCTTCATTCCTTCCACCTGACATACTTACTATCTTTAAGTATTTGAGGAATCAAGGTCTGAAAATTAAATCTAGTCTGAAGGACCAGAGTGGTTCTTAGCTTTGATTTAGTTTAGATCTTATTTACAAAGAAAAAAGAATAGTAATATTAATGGTGTTCACTATTCTTGGTCGTTCGTATTTATCACCCCATTAAGAACATTTGAGTCCTTCCATATTAGCACTTAATTTTTTAACACTATTATTTCTGTTTTATAGATCAGGACTGCAAAGTGTAAAGTGTTAAATATCTTGTTAAAGACTACACTCTTTTTTTTTTTTCCTTAAATTCTTTTATTGGTACATTTTAGGTATATAATACATTTACATTTATCATTGGGAACTTTTACCTTTACGTGATGTATCTTGGTTTTTATTTTTCCCCCATTCCCCT